CTGGGTTTCTGTACACGAATAACTTCAGTCCTCTTCACCAGATATACTGCCGAACACTCAAGTTATGAATAATTACGAATATTACCTGTAATTTAAATCTGTAGGCGACGTCAAATCTAATTAGATTTCAGCATTCCATTAACATACGAGCCTATATTAAGATATTAAAATAATTTATTATTTTCTTTAAGTATTGATCATGTAATACTGAATAAGTGCTTGTAATAGTGCTGAAATATCGGGATCTCCCGAAGGTAAGTGCTAATTATGGGAAATCTCCCGCTTTATATCATTATATTGTCAGCGACTATGAGAGTTTAAAGACATAAACATATTTTTTTAAACAATTACGTACACTTACGTGATTGTCGTAGCACCTGCAATAAATAAATATGTTGGGACATTAACACACAGCTCCATCTAGTTCCATGGTAAGCTACGAGGCCTGTGTTATGGAGATAGTTGATATGTATGATGACATATATAACTTTAAATACATACATATTATAAATATAAACACCCATGACTGTAGTACATACATTCGTGTTCATCACACAAATGAATGCCCCCAGTGGGACTCGAATCCGCGACCGCTGGTACAGCATGTAGGGTCATACAAACTGAGCCAAACGTGTCGTCGAATCGTGCAATAGTATAGAAAGGTAAAAAAAATAAAAATAAAATGGATTAATTATAATTTTGTTACATTAATTCAGGTGTATCTTTCATATAGCTATATTATGAAATTATTAATTGGTCGGCCACTGTAGAGATTCTATGCGTAGAACGTCATTCTTTGTCAATTCATTTCTTACAAACTTTCTACCTAAGTATCTGGAACTTTAGTTAAATGATGGAGGTACATGAAACTTTAAAACATTTCCATTTTTTACAACCGTTCTTGTTAGTTTTCTTTGCAACTTATACCATAGAGCTTATTTTCATCGCACAAGTCCAAATTACATGAATATATCTAATACTATATAATATATATACACACACACATATATATATCTATATGTATATATAGATATATATGTATATATAGATATATACATATAATATAAATATCACGGAGTTTATGGTCGCACTCCTTCGAAACGACTCGACTGATTTAAATGGTTTTTTTTTGTATATTTGGTAGGTATGAGAATAGGTCGTAAAGTATTTTTCACTTTGTAATCGTGAATTAAGTATTTTTGTATGAACAATAATATAGAAATACATAGCGATAACCCGAGCGAAGCGAGGGTGAGTCGCTGTATAACATACAGCCAAAGAGTTTTTTTGTAGATTGAACGCAAGCGAAGCCGCGGGTTCTGCTAGTACATATATAAAAATAATCAACAATAACTATAACAACTAAAAAAATAAAGAAGACAAGTATCTTTTAATTTTTATTTAGGTATTTATAAGTGACGTACTATCGCTTGGATCAAATTTAAGTGTTCTGAAACATCCTCCTGAGAAAAAAGTAATCTTCACTCAACAACTTTAACAATCTGACTGGCCCGTGAACTATTCCTTTGTTAAAAGTGATATCGATAACAATTACATATTCGTATTTGCGATATCATTAGGATAAAATTAATATTTAAATAAGTGTCTGAATGCACAAATTAATGAAATTCAATAATGGCTCAGCTTTGACGTGAATTGAAACGGTTAGTTTCTAGAATTAACGTACATGTTTCAGTAGCAAAACAAACTAATACTCACATGGGAAGTGGCCACGCAAACACTACTTTCGTTACAAATTTAATCGTGTTGAAATCTGCAACTCCATTTCAATCGAGAACTTGCTGAATCAGAATCGATTAACGAGAAATTTCAAGCTCAAATCGATTTTAAGTACGGATTCTTGGCAACCGGGAGCCATCTCGAACTTCGCGAGAGTTAAATACCTCTTTGATTGTATCGTATTCAATCTTCCGCCAGTTTGAGATTATTTCAATTATAATAATGTTGGACCAGTTTTGAAATTGCTTATAAATATGGAGTACATTTTATTTCAATTTTTGTTTAAAGCTTTTGTGCCAAATGAGCAGAACTTTGTTGTGTTAATGTCATAAAGTGTTCTATTTTTGTATTAAACGAATACTTTAGGTTTAGGGTTTATTGTAGTAACAAAGTAAAATTAGTCCTTTTCAACCGACTTCAAAAAGGAGGAGGTTCTCAATTCGACTGTATGTTTTTTTTTTTTTTTATGTTTGTTACCTCAGAACTCCGTCATTTATTAAACGATTTGGACAATTTTTGTGTTGTTTGAAAGTGTATACTTCCAGATTGGTCCCATTTAAATTTCAAAAAAAAAATACCACCCCTAAGGGTGGAAAAATAGCTAATGATGAATTTAACCTACTTCTAATTGTCATATTGACTTGAAACTTTGCAAGTGTTTCTATTTCCGTTGATAGTACAGTGGTTCGGTATTGTTGACCTGATCTGATGGTAAGGCCAGAAGGTGGATAGGTGGAACTCTTCAACGGCTAATAGTAGATACTTTGAGTTTGGGCTTGTTTTGTTTGATTTGACAAGCCTAATACGTTAGAATTCTTACTTTGCTACTACTGTCTACACTAAAAAGGGAAAAATAAAAACTTTTTAACAAAAAAATAAAAACCGACTTCAAACAAAAGCACTAAAAAGTAAAAAATAACTGATTGGTAGTTTTCATTCACTATACATATCTAATTAAATATATTCGAAGTCGGTGTGCTTTGGCTAAGTAATTAAAGCCTACCTATAAAATACATACCTAATCAAATATTTTCGAAATCGGTGCCAGGCCATATAAAGCAAAGCACACCGACTTCGAATATATTTAATTAGATATGTATAGTGAATGAAAACTACCAATCAGTTATTTTTTACTTTTTAGTGCTTTTGTTTGAAGTCGGTTTTTATTTTTTTGTTAATACATAATATTATATGTAATCTCATACTTCAAATAGATTTTCGTTAATATTTTGTAATAATAACGAAAATCATTAAGATTTTTAGACAGATTAATTTTATCTTTATCGACTTTCCGGAAAATATAATAAAATATTTTTATAGAATTACAGATTTTAAAATAAAGATACTAACCTATGCGAAATACAAGTGGAGCAAAACATTCTGTCCATGGTTTAGTTATAAACTTGAATAAACTTTGATTAAACTGAATAAAATTATAAAAATAAAATTCATACATACCATTTTGTAGATACTTCAAGCAGTCATCGTGGAAGATATACGAATAAGATTATAATTAGTAATTAATAATTTTTGAATTTATTGATTATCTAATATCTTAACTTTCGTATATTATTTACTTAATATATATTACTTAATATTATATATATATATATATATATATATATATATATATATATATATATATATAATTCTTCTGTACATGTATTTGTTAACCTACTCCTCCTAAAGGACTTGACGATTTGTATGAAATTTTGTGAGTATATTTCAATGGGCTCCTGGATGGTTTGAAGATACAAATGGGCCCAGTAAGTGGCGCTGCAGTCGGTGTGCCACTGCTCATCTTCTAAGCGGCAGGGATGATTTTAATGATATTTTTTGTGTATGTTCGAGTGGGTCCCTGCAAGGTTGGAATTGTAACAAAATTTTCATAAAAGATTTCATTTTCCGAACAATAAATAAATTGTTGGTTAAATAAAATGTAAATCGAGGTGTGTATGTATGTTTCCTATGTCTCCAAAACAGCTGGAGCGATTTTGACGAAATATTCAGGTAATCTTTAGATTAGCGCAGCGGGTGACCCTGTGAATTTTGTTAGCGATCGGAAGTTTGGACGCGAGCGAAGCCGCGGGTACTGCTAGTATATATCTATATCTAACAAGTAATTTTCGCGTTCCAATATAATTTCTTGTAGTTATTATCATATAGGTACCCTGTTGGAATCGTTTTTTTAACTCGTAAAAATATCATCTAATATATAAAATTTCCATGTCACAATGTTAGTTACCGTACTCCTCCGAAACGGCTTTACCGATTTTTACCAAATTTTATATGCGTATTCAGTAGGTCTGAGAATCGGCTACTATCTATTTTCCATACCCCTAAGTGATAAGGATAAGGGTGGTCCTCCCAGACCCCACCCCAGGGACGAACCCGAGCGGAGCGAGGGTGAGTCGCTAGTATTTATATAAATATTATAAATGTGAAAATTTGTGAGCATATATGGATGTTTGTTAATCTTTCACGCTAGAATGGCTGAACGGATCTGTATGTAATTTGATACAGATATAGATTATAGTCTGGAATAACACATAGGCTACTTTTTATCCCAGAAAAAGATACGGTTCCTGAGGCATAGATTTGTAGAAAAACAAATCTAGAGGTGAGCATCTAGTATATAATATAACTTGAATTAGTAACAAGCGGACAGACAGACAATTGTTTAATAATATTAGAAAGTTTGAGGATTCATATTAAACATGCCTCATCATAATATAGAAAAAAATATTTATAAAAGTAAAAGATTTTTTCTTAAAAGATAGGTCATGCTGTTTAAGAGTTTGTCATACTCGTGTATTTAGGGACACCCATTTGAAAACTCATAGCATCGGTAAAGCGAGCTTCCGCAAATGTTGACACGGCGCGATATTGCACCACATGACGCTTTTTGCTTCTAGCGCTCCTTGTCGTTTATAAGCCAACCTCTTTTATTTTATTATTTTTGTGGTTGTGATATTTAAAACATAACTAAAATTGCACCTGTAACAAAATTAAATATTACAATTCATAAAGGATGATTAAAATAATAAGTAAATTCTACTAAATAAACTACATATATTAATCTTTGATATAAAACGTTTGCTATACCAACTCTTTTTTGGTATATTTTTTTTAAATAAAGCTCAATGAAAAAATATTTATTGTCAGTGCCAATTTAGTATAACTCAAATTATTATTATACTGACAAAAATGGAATTTTTCATGTGAGCTTTCGTTATATTAAGAATTAAAGTGAGCTTAAAATGTTTTCGAGTAGTTCAGAAGTAAAGGAACCTCCTATAAGGATATTTTATAATAATATATCATCTTCATCGGAATCTTTCGAAGAAATACCCTCGATACCTCCAAGTGAAAACCCTAAGATGTTGCTGTACCAACAGGGTCTTTACGATCCGGGCAGTGGAGAAATTTGCACCAAATACGTAACGATGTCTGACAGTACAGTGTTTAGACACGCATATTATAATTATCCTGGAATCAAGGATCCGGGTATTAAAGAAGCCTTGCTGGAACCAGGTTTTTTTTTGCTTAATAATTATAATAAAAACGAAACACAAGTTGTTATTTTATAAACCAAAATGAAATACTTATTGTGTAAGCTTTTATTACATTAAGAATTGAAGCGAGCTTAAAAATGTCGCATAGTTCAGAGTAAATGATCCGCGTTGTCATCTTCATCGAAATAGCGCCGTCAAACTGATCACACGGTTTTGTGGGGCTATGTTGTTTATCAAATTTGTATAATATCTAGTAATAATAATAAAAAAAAGTGTGTGTGTACTTATGTACGCAGTCGCACGTAAGAAGTTATACTTCTTTTACATAACAGAACAAAAATAGCTAAAGATTTCATTCTGTATGTCACAACTATTTGTAAAAGGAATGCTTCATCATGTCGCGTTCAGCTAACTTCATCATGTCGATTTTTGGCTGTCGGTGTGCGCGCGCAACGTAAAAATTTTACTCTCATATTTTTTTCCAAACGTGCCAAAAGAAGTATAACTTAAAATTTAATTAAATAAATTTAATATAAAAATATTTAGAAAATTAGGTACAGTTAAAGCAATCACATATATGTTTGATACATTTCGCATTCTCTCTATTTTAGTGTCAACGTTTATTATATAATGTATATAATGTTTATTATATAATGTAATATTATTATATAATGTAATAATATTATTATATAATGTTTATTATATAATGTAACTATTAACATTATTATTAGAGCCAAGAAAAATCTACTCATTGGATGGTCAAGAGCTGTATTTAGATTTATGTGAAGAAATGAAAGTGAGTCCAGTAAGAAGTTTTCTCAGAGGGCTGCTCGGCGAGGTCATTGATTTGAAAGTAAGTACCATTATTTACAATTCAGCCAACAGTCAGTCCATTTATAGGATAGAAATCTTTATTGCTTTCTGATACAGTTCGACGTAACAGTTCTCTTTTGGGCGTGTGATTGAAAAAAACCATGGACTTTGAGAAATTAAACAGTAATCTATACATATAATAAAATTCTATCAGACGAGTTTGTATATTCAACTTTTTAGAAAATCTTCTTGAAATAATCATATTTTTATCGATACAGAGGCCAAATCTGTACTTTTTAGAATTTTTGTCTGTTTGCCTGTTTGGGAATGCATCACGTGAAAATCACTGGAGAGATTTTGAAGAAATTTGTTATGATGATAGCTGGTTATCCGGGTCAACATTAAGGATACTTTTTATTGCGGGAAAATATCACATCTCTGAGAAATCTATGCTAAACTTTAAAACTTAGGAACGAACCCGAGCGAAGCGAGGGTGAGTCACTAGTATTATGTATAATATTAAAAGGCAATATTTTTAGAGTTTTAACATAAAAAAGGAATTAGTAACTTTAATGTTCAAACCCAATGTTAAAAGAACATTTCTCTAGTCTGTTAATTCGTATCTGTCATTTGATATATAAGTTAGGGTCGGTGGGTACACACATAAAATGCACCTGGAGATTTATTTATATACTTACATATATATTTACATTGTACATATACATTACACGGTCGAAAAAAAAACCTGCTTCTAAGGTAGTGTGGTTTAACATTTTAAAACTACTGTGTTAGATCAAACTAATGATCGTTTGTTTAAAGTAACATTTTAGTCCACACTTTAACAGATATATCATGTTTTTTGTACAAGTTCTTTTAATCTCGCTTAGTAAATATGTGTTCTGTTTTTATAGGATACACCCAAATTAAGTTTTTAGTTTAATTAGGTTTGAAGTATATCTCGTAAAAGGCACTTTCATACGTTTTGACTGTTTACGTTTGTTTTATAGTACTACGGTGTAAATCCAAATAACGTGAGAGCTATGTCCATGGCTCTCACTTACAATCGCTACGTGAGACGATTAGATCTCACTTCAAACTTCCTGAACGACGACGCATGTTACCACCTCGGTCAAATGCTTGGGGAAAATATGGCTTTACAAGAAGTTATATTATCCGGATGCAGGTTATTATTTTATTAGTTATTTGATCCGTTTGGAAAACGAATAAGAATTTTAGGTTTTATGTCTTTTTCTATGAGTCTAATAGTGATAATTAATAGATGTTTAGCACAATATTATGGTTTTTATAAAAGAAAAATGTCATGCCGCTAATTAAGTATTTATTTTTACCAATATTGAAGCTGTGTTTTTTTTTGTAATAATTATTCCCTCTGAACGAATCGAATTCGTCCACGGCGGCCAATCTCATTGAGACTAGCCAACTACGCAGGAGATATTATAAGTGCGCAAGTGTACGTGCAGACACACCGTGCACTTTCCATTCCGTTCTCTCATACTCCGGTGGGACGAAACAACGGTGGTTTTTTTTGTAAGAAGCATACTAAAGTTTATTCAGGAAATAGAGTTAAATGAAATATTGTTTTTATATATGAAACTATGAAATGCAAACTAAATTTCGTGAAATGTATGCTATACAATATACAAAATTAACTAAGCGAAATGCAATATGTAGTGTATTCATTTAGGATTCAAGAAGAGGGTCTCAGGAGATTAGTGGTGTTCCTCACCGCTCGCTCGTTAGATTTGCTCGATTTGTCCCGCAATGAAATCGGTGACAACGGTTTTGAACATCTAGCCGGTCAACTGGTTAAAGGTGCCGTTATTAAGAGGTACATTTAAAATGTCAATTTATAACTCAATTTTTGTTTAGATTTTAATAAATTTTACAGGATTCTTTGTATTTATACAATACCCTCTTATATTTTATAGAATAACTATTATTACTTAATAGCGGGTTGGCTTTTAGCAAAACAAAGCTGAACTTATTGCATTCGAATCCTATGAAAATTTATCAACACATAGACTAACTATGTTAAGCTGCATTGAAAATAGGAAATTACTGCGAACCCATTCCAATGGTAATCGAAATCCCATCGTATCGTAAAATTATTAGGAAATCGGCGCGTTTGCGTCGAAACTCCAAATTATCAGGTTAGCCATTTAGCTTCCAACTTATCCGGAGTTGCTTCATCACATTGTGCCAATGGCTTTGAGGTCCATCAAATTCAAAACAAATTGTCCAATTATAATGTAATTTATCTTCTGTTAATATGTATGTTTTAATTATAATACCTGCTGTATTTAGAGGTTAATATTTGAAGGGCCTTTTGAAAATTTTTATACAAGTACTAAGAAATATACGAGTATATGACCATCTCAAATGTTTTAAGCGATATTTATGACATATTAATATTAATATAAATAAAAAAAAAGCGGATAGTGAAACTCTTCAATGGCTTCTAGTACCTATAAGTTTCTGCTAATTTTTTGTACTACCTTGAATAATTTTGAAGAGGCCCTAATTATTTAAAATGAATATAATTATTTTTAATTAAAGTTCGAATTTCAAGAGCGTTAAAAATGCTACAAGTAAAATTTGTTTGTTGGTAAAAGCTTAAAGCCGTTGACATTGCTTAAAAAGCGTATGATATTAAATGTACCTAATCTTAGAAATTCAATTATTTCAAGAATTAAGAATCCAATACTATTTTAATTAAAAGGTTGAATCTAAGCTATAACGAGCTGAGTTCCGCTTCAGCGTCAGCATTTTCAGCTGCCATTGAAGGCAACAAGACTACAACTCATCTGGACCTCTCTTGGAACAAAATGTCCCCGCTCAAAGGCGAGTGGAACTCATTAACGAACTAAATGCGTTTATCCACCTTGCTAAACGATTCAGATAGGGTTCAAAGTTTGCTAGTTATAAAAGTTTTCCGCAATGCGAAACGACGTTTAATTTAAAGTATTCGCAAGGATCTACTTTGATCGTGTAAACATGATTTAATAATTTCAATTGTGCCTTCTCTTTTCATAACTGGGATTAAATGCTTTTTAGTGTTTGTTTAATCATACAAGTGGATTTTATTATCACTTATAGCCTTTATTATGTTCTGAATATGTTGTTATATTACAAAACTTTAGTAATATTTTATCTAGTTTTCATGTAAAAGTAGTTTTAGTACTTAGCTTTTAGCGCTTATACAATAATACTAAACTTAATTTTAGGTATAAATGATCTTCTCGGTCAACTTAGCGATAGCCAAGTTTTGATAGAAGTCGATATATCCTGGAACAGTTTAAAGATAAACAAAATTCTTAAGAAACTGCTCACGGTACCTACGTTGCGAATTTTGAATCTCAGCAATAACAGGTAATGTGTATGAGAAAAACTAGGTATATTTATTCTCATGTAGTTTATTAACTATAATTTTTTTTATGTTGTTACTAGCGCTACTACTTACTTACTCTTGCCTCGCTTGGGTGAGTCTTAAGCTGGAATATTTTAGGAACTCATAAAAGGCAAACGTCCAAAGAAAGATTATTTTTTTTCCGCCAAGAAGGGTACCACTAGAGTTTCATTACTATCGAATAAATGGTTTAAGAACGCACAGAGGACAAACAAACAAACTTTCATTTTTATCTAATATATAAATATCTCATGTCACGGTGTTTCTGGTCGCATTCTTCCGAAACGGCTCGACCGATTTTAATGTTTTTTTTTGTTTATTTGGTAGGTGTGAGAATAGGGCGTAAAATATTTTTCACCCTCCTCCCCCCATCCTCTATTATTTAATCATGATTTTGGTATTTTTGTATGAACAATATTATATAAATATATAGAGCTAAATGTATAATATAAAGCCAAAAAGTTTTTTTTGCAGATTGAACGCCGGCGTAGCCGCGGGTTCTGCTAGTTTATTTATATAAATGTACGTTTTAATAGTTAGTATGGAATAGATAGACTAGGCATGCTTAGAATTAATAACAATGAATTGACTTGATGATATATTTTTTTGTAAGACTTATTCAACAGTAAGGTGGAAGACAAAAGTTTAAAGTTAAATAAAAAACTGTTATTAAAAATAATTTTATATATTCGTCGTGTTTTTATTATTTTTTAATATATATTTGTTTTGTTCAGATTAGGAAAATTAGCAGCAACAGCGATCGCTAACACTTTAGAAAAAGCAAAAGGTCTCCACACACTAAATCTCTCCTATAACCCACTAACTGCGGATGGAGCATTTATTATTGTCAACAAGTTACGAAATAATTCGATCAAATTGATTAATCTCCTTATGGATAATGTCGAAGTTAATAAAGAATTCGTGAAGGTAATTATTACCTATTAATTATCCATATCCGTTATCCATACTAATATAAATGTGAAAGTTTGTGAGTATGGATGTTTGTTACTCTTTCACACGCCAGAACGACTGAACAGATCTGGATGATATTTGCCACAGAGATAGATTAGAGTCTGGATAGTCCATAGATTATTACTTTTTATGTCGTAAAAATGTACGGTTCCCATGGGATACATTTGTTTTTGTTTTTCATCAGGGACGAACCTTAGTCCCTAGCTAGTTTGTGTAATAAAACTGAAAGCAACAGTTAGTTACTTTTTTATAAACTTATTATACATTAAGTCAAAAATATAATAAATATATTGGGTTTTAAATTTAAAATTTCAAATCACGCGTGAGTCAGCTAAGCTCTCTGTAAAGCTTTTTAATGAATCTACTGAACGGAAAATGTAATTTAGTCCATACATAGAGATAGACAACTCAATTAAGGACATAATATAGCGTAAATAGAGGTTTTGGTGTCAAAGAAATTACGACTATGCAGTATCTCTTGCTGAATAAACTGAGGGTCCCATTTTTTTTTACTACTTTTGTTAGTGACTGTGCAATACCTAAGTTTGTAAAACCGGCCCCAGAAGAAAAAAAAAACTATAGGTAAAAATCCAATCATTAGCCTCATGTAAACATATATATATATATATATATATATATATGTCGTGTTATCCATATACTACGAACATCATCTTTGGTGGTTACTCATCTTGTGGGCGTTATCAGGGCTCAAATAATAAAGTATTTAGTGCTCCATACACAATTTAATCAGGGAAGTCACAATGTTATAAACTTGAAACGGTAATTCTAATGATTTAGAGCTAGCGGGTTCACAGTCACCGATCATCGACTTCCAACTACAATATCAAATATATCTCTTTATGATCAACCGACTTTACTACACCACGTATCTGCAAAGAATGTCGTGATGGCGTCTCGACCCCGCTCGAGACTAATCTCTGCTCTAAATTCAAAATAAGCTATAACAAGTAAATTAAAGAACATAGTGACTTTAAACAATAATAAGGTATCATAACAGAAAAAGGTAACTAAATCCTCCTCCGTCTCGGCCGTCCTGCTGTTCACACGCCCTCGGGTGATCTTGTGGGGCACTCACCACCGCTATTTCTTCTACCACGGCCGTCCTGCTGTTCACGCGCCCTCGTGTGATATTGAAAATCGATCTATAGAAAAAGTAACATTAGCTCGGCTATTCCTGACCAAATAACTGACCATGGTGGCCAAACTTACTAAAACTAGTCATCGGTGCAGTAGATATTTAGTGCAAAAGTGTACTTAGTACAAACAGACACCCTCAAAGTCCAATGTACCTAACACAATGAGTATTGGGTAAATGTTTAGCTTTATATGTTAACAATAAAGAGCGATTCAAATCATATTCATTCTCCCTAACTAGTTTTCTTTGAGACAAATTTCTCAAAACTTAATTTTTAAACTGACTGAAACCCTAAAGACTATACACACAACTTACGTATCATTGAGTACAAGTTACAGAAGTAAGTGTCTCATATGTTAATAAAGTTAAGTCGGTGCCTTTCAAATCAAACGATGCGATACAACCCAATCGATGCCACACAGACAACTCTCGCCATTCAGGCTACATGTGCCACAAGGTTACTTTTGCCACACAGGCAACTCTCGCCACTCAGGCTACATTTGCTACAAAGACTCGTCAACGCCAAATAGGCACCCCATTGTCTAAATACCACCTTCCACCATCGTCGCACAGCAATATCAGAATCATACAGCCTCATCGTGCTACTTCGGCTTGTCAATGTTACATAACTTCGTCAATTCAGTCACCCTAGCTTGTGCTACGTAGGTTCATTAATGTTAAGCTGCTAGATATTATTGGAAATAACTAAAATTATTAGAACCGTATATAACGGTACATTCTGAGATCATTTGCCTCACATATCTAAACATAATGGAAACGTCTCACCATATAACATTCATATTAGATTAAATAAAACAGCCCAAGCATCTCTGGATACCGTCTTCTTCTAGGGCATCGTATACGTCTGATGTAGTCTGGTTTAGCGTAACTAAACTGGCTAAAGCAAGTCGACCTCTTTACGCTAAATACATATTTTGAACACTTGAAACAAGGCACCTGAAAATTCATATTATTAATAATTGTGTCACATAGTTGTTACTACCATCGACCCGATCTAATTATGTTTAATATTTGGACCAAATAAGGACATGTGAAATCGGTATTATAATCAAAGATTTCTATCTTAGCCTGCGTATGAGAATGTCTTCGGAGTGTACACAAACATTAGTTTTTCGCTGTATCACCATTAATACAGTTGACTATTTCTCATATTTCTTTTGGAACATCTTTTACCTGATGGACTGCTAGATTTTTTTTTAATTAGTATCAACTGCTAAATAAAAATTTTATAACCGAAATGAATACGCAAGTTAAAGGAACTATGTAATTTTCCCAATATAATTCGCAAATATCGTCTTTTAATGTTCCGACGGGAAATAGTAAGCCTTTTATTTTATCAAAAATATCAACTCAATATTTTCACTTTAAAAATCCTGAAATAAATCAAATATAAAGCAAACAATTACAATACAAAACATTTTTGACACTAAAATTCTGACACGATTTATATTTTATTTCAGAACTAGAAGAAGGTTCTTATAAGCATCGAACAAAAACATTTCAAAAATAATTCTCGTAATTTATCGATTAAATAAATTAACTTCATATATCATCCTGAAATAAACAAATTTTCCATTTAATTTTTCCATACATATTGTTTTCAAAAATATTTCTGCGATAATATCAAGAAAATCAAATCCAGCTAGCAACAAATCTTTGCAACGTCATGTCATTTCATAAAAAATCAATTGAGACATCTATGATTATTTTAATATTTTGAGCATCTTGCATACGAGTATATCATATCATCATGATTCATAATTATCAAAAAGTAAATCTTCTGTAAAAGAACCCGCATATGCATCGCTATTTTGTGCGTCCTTTTTAACATTTGACATCGCATTTCGTTTCAGTTTGAGAAAATTTTCGCAACAAAATTTTCAAATGGCCGCTGTCTATCTTTGCCCTGTTCTTCGGGTATCATCCCACTTCTGATGTCGTGTTATCCATATACTACGAACATCATCTTTGGTGGTTACTCATCTTGTGGGCGTTATCAGGGCTCAAATAATAAAGTATTTAGTGCTCCATACACAATTTAATCAGGGAAGTCACAATGTTATAAACTTGAAACGGTAATTCTAATGATTTAGAGCTAGCGGGTTCACAGTCACCGATCATCGACTTCCAACTACAATATCAAATATATCTCTTTATGATCAACCGACTTTACTACACCACGTATCTGCAAAGAATGTCGTGATGGCGTCTCGACCCCGCTCGAGACTAATCTCTGCTCTAAATTCAAAATAAGCTATAACAAGTAAATTAAAGAACATAGTGACTTTAAACAATAATAAGGTATCATAACAGAAAAAGGTAACTAAATCCTCCTCCGTCTTATATATATATATATATAAACAATTATTAGTTATATATAAAGTTTAGTATATAATAAACAATACTGTTGATCAATTAGTAAATAATTAAGTGATTTAATAAACGGTATTTCAATAATCTAACATGTATTGGGAGTTATCAAATAATTAGTTAAATTAATTTGTCGTTAAATTGTTATATTGTTATTCTAATCTGATGAACATAACATGTACTCGTATAGTTGATATTGTTATAAATACAGATAAATATTAGAAATCGCTTATTGAAAATTTGGTTCATTTATGCTATTTTCTATGTCTGTGAGGTAGAGAGGAGTGAGGAGTGGAGTGATAAGATGTATTTTACACGGTTTGTAATGAATACGAGGCATTTATATGTGGTAATAGCTCGCAAAATAAATACCGCAGTGTTTGGTGAATAAGTTTTTACATCAGGTCACGATTCCAAGTCCCGCTTTGGCAAAATATTATAATTTTATATAGTTACTTCATAGAGAAAATAATTTTATCTAAATAAGTTTTCTAATATCCAAACGTAATGTGGTTAATATGTAGATGCATAGCCCGTGGGAATCGAACTGGCAATCAGAAAAAAGAAATATTGTTGTTAAGAAAGTATTATTTTAAGACTTAGCTATACACGTACAAACAATATAGTGGTAGTGGTAGCCCAGTAGTAACGCGTTCGCTTGGGAAACCGAGTGACGCGGGTTCAAATCCCGGGTCACACACCTCTGATATTTTCATGTGTGACTTATTTCCAACATGATCACCTCTTGCCTTACGGTGAAGTAAAACATCGTGAGGAAACCTGCATGTCTGAAAGAACATAGCAAGTTTTCGAGAGACATGTATGTGGAGGCCCGTGCCCAGCAGTGGGACGTAAAAAAGCGTTGAATACGACACAAACAATAAACTACAACTTGCTATTTTTCAAGGAATGTAAAGAAGTGCTGCAGTTGAGATTTCGCAAAAACTGCAAGATAACTTACGGTGACGTTAAGCACAACTACACGCTCTCAGTGCCGGATATTAGGGAGATATTGTTGAAAAGAATCGACTTTCTCACCGCGCGCGCTTCGAAAAAGAATCAACTTGATATCGCGTGAGTTTAAACGTTACCTGTTTTAATATTTACTTAAGAATTAAAGTAATCATTTTTGATTTCAATACGACTATTTTTATATTATTAATGTGTTTGTTTGTTTGTTTGTTTGTTTGTTTGTTTGTTTGTTTGTTTGTTTGTTTGTTTGTTTGTTTGTTAGTTTGTTTGTTTGTTTGTTCATCTATCTTTTACGAAGCTAAAAGTAGATTGGCGTGATTTCTAGTTAGAAATAGCTTACACATATATACATACATATATGGTCTGGAGAGTGACAAAGAGTGCTTTTTATTTTGATCCATCAAGTGGTTATTGTGGGAATATTATTATATTTTTCGATCAAAGTGGAAGGAGAAGTAAATAAAAACAGAAATTTAATTAAACTCACACTTAAGCAATTTCAAATAATCTAGTAAATGATTTTAAAACGAATAAATATTGATAGCTACTATATCGCTCTCGGCTATGATGGCGTCAACACATGAATGCAAACTGTGATTTCAACTGTCTTGCCACACAAACATCATTATTATAATGAACAAATATCCTAAAGACATGCTAATATTGTAAAAATCTCACCATACTAATATTGTAAATTATATTATAATAAATTATATTAGCGACTCACCCTCGCTTCGTTTTCGTTCGTCCTTTGGTACGTTTTAACGGTTGTATATAAGTATGATGAGTTGTTGTGAGTCGTATTATATAATATAGGATTCCCCGTGGGTATCTCCCGCGGTAAAAAGTAGCCTATGTCACTCTCTAGCCCTCCAACTATCTCCACACAATATCACACCAATCCTTTACTGTGTTTCGATGTGAAATAAGGACAAACAAACAAACAAAGACATACTTTCGCATCACTACATAGTATAAAACAAAGTCGCTTTCTCTGTCCCTATATCCCTATGTATGCTTAAATCTTTAAAACTACGCATCGGATTTTGATGCGGTTTTTTTAATAGATAGAGTGATTCAAGAGGAAGGTTTTAGTTTATAATTTGTTAAGTTTTTGTATACATTGGCTAAAATATAACGATATTTGTTGGAGGTGTCGGAAAAAATAAGACGTCTTGGAGCTTTCAACGAAAACGCTTCCTAAGCCCTTTGAGATATAACAAAATAATGTATGGTGGAATTGTGTATCTTACGTAGGTCTACAGAAAAGTCCACGATGGCATATGTCTATCTGTTAAGGATAACATACTATATCCATTTTAATTTAAAACGTACCTAGGGACGAACCCGCGCGAAGCGAGGGTGAGTCGCTAGTTTATAATATTAGTATGGAATATGACGTAATAAATTATATTTATTATTATTTTATTTATGCTTAAGCAGTATTTTGTGATTTACCAATAATATAACAGGATATATTTTCTACAAAAGAAAAAAATGTTTGACAACATTCAGCCTCGTGAAATTTTGCGAGATTTGAAAATAGCGGGCACTCCAGTGGATGAAGATCTAGTCCTAGGTCTCACTGATACATTTCCCGGACCAAAGTTGGATAAAGGGGGGAAGACCCTGGATTTGGCTGGTTTGTTTTTCAATAATACAAAAAATGATTATTTAAAATGTCAAATATTCGCCTGAACTATGAAATAATATATAGTTCAAACATATTATATATATAAGGTTCGAGTGAGCGTGTGTTCGTAAATTTCCTCCTTCTAAACGCCTTGACCGATTTTGATGATTTTATACGTATTTATGAAGTTGCCTGACTGGTTCTTAGCAATAATTGGACTCAGTAGATAGTGCTGTTGTCGAGATCTTATTTTTATTTTTCGAGCAAACGAGTTCTATGATAAGACAACGTGTGCCTACTGGGTCCACTAGTTTCAATACAAATAGGTGTTATTAGTGAATCACCCTCACTTCGCTCGGATTCGTCCCTAGGTACATTTTTTTTGATCGGAACCCTAATCCTTTTACAGAAATAAAAGAAGCCTAAGTTACTCCTTATAACATCAACTAACTGCCAGTGAAAGTCCCGTCAAAATCGGCCCAGCAGTTTCGGAGATTAGCCGGAAGAAACAGACAGACACACAGACAAAATTTTAAAAATTGAGTTTTTCTTATAAATACCGTATATAATCCCATATGCATTTTAAATGTATAATATGTAATAAATAAAAGCTGTATATGAAACTACTTCCGCTTCGTTTATTTTAGTTAGTGCTCAAATATTTTCAACTTAATAGATTAAACCAGCGTTAGATTGATTGAATAATGAAATTGCTGTTAGAATAAAAGGGTCATCGGACGTCCAATTATTGGATTCTATAACAATATCCAAGCTATTGTTAAATTAAAATGTATCTCAGTAGAATTTAACGTTTTTGTCCGACTTCAGAAAAGAAGTAATTACTGAATTTTGATGTAAATTTTTGTATGTTACGCGATATCTGTACTAATTAAGAGCTTACTCGTATTTCAATGGTTCTTTTCTTAAGGCATATATCATCAAGGGTCTCAAATTCTATATACTACATAAATTCTAGTAGACAGTAGTAGCTAAGTGCCAACCCACCCTGTACCCAGCTGTGGGACATTAAAAAGGCCTGAATGTTACATACATTTAAAAGAAAAAATCTACTCAAGAGAAGGGCACCGCCCGCCCTAATCATTCAATCAACAGTCAAAGACAGGCGGTTTGCATTTGTGTTAGCTAAAAGTAATTGTATTGAAAATCCATGTACTCATATTTATTCATTTATAAACAACTACTTCGATAGTATTAGGTTCTTTAGATTGTTGAAAGTTTTTACTAAGTAATTTTTAATCTTTGCTAGATTCTGAAATAAAAAAAACGTTTACCTTTGCGTTATATTTCTTTCGAGGTTAAGAATACGAGGCGTCAAACGTTATGATTCAAGTTTTTTTCACTTCTTTAACTTCAGTCTCTTGGGGAGATTTTCAAAACTTTTATATCCGTACATAAAATAAAATGAAATATTTTAAGTGTTTGATAATAAAATGATAATTTAGAAGATAAATAACTGTTCGGTGCACTGCGGCATGTCTAAGTTATTACTTAGCAGTATTCTGCTTGTGCATACTGCACAAAGAACGAGATTCCGTTTTCCACATAAGGCTTATACGAGTATTTAGTTAAGATAAAGCAAAGGGGTTGTTTGAATATACATAAATAAAATAATATTAAATATATATATATATATATATATATATATATATATATATATATATATATATATAATTTGATTGTATGTTTAAACTAATGAGTCTATTCTTAAAATTCTTACACTCTTCTTTATGGTATATTAATAAAAAGTACTAGATACACAATCAGTGCCAAAAAAATGTCCTCACCGAATGAGCACTCGTTTGTACATTTGAGCGCGCTTTTATTTTTTTTGTGAAAACAATTTTAAGTATTGCATTTAAGGTTCAATTTACACTGTTGTAGGTATATTTATTTCAACTAGAATAATTGTCTAAATACAATTGGTGACAGTTTTAAGAAAACTTTTGAATGAGATCGATGTGTATCTCCCGTGCAAGCGTGGCCACGGGACTCGAATAATATAGAAAAAAAATGAGTACGTGTAACCTTTACGCGCGGTTGAAGTACTTCTTTAACGGTGTGGCAGGTACCGCAATTAAATTAAAACAAATCAAGATATAATAATTTTTATAAAATTATTAGTAATAAATATTCATTTTTATAAGTAATAACTATTATAAAAATATAAATATAATATATATTTTTTTAAATTATCAATAATAAATTAATTTACCCCTCAGTCACGCCTAAAAAGTTTTATTTCAAAAAAATATAGTGTTGTCACATTGAAAATGTATTGGTAATATAAAATTAACCAAAAAATTGGCAACACAAAGAGTAGCTTTACTTAACAGTATTCGACATTTCATTACATTTAAACAATGGCTTCTCAATTTAATTAAAGTAATTATCCTTATTTGATTTGAATTGACAAAAGATATTATCATTATCATGTTCCAGAGATGTCATTATCTTGTTCTTATTGTTCATTGGTTTCTAAATAATAGATTGTCTCTTATTGTTTAGCGGATAATTATAAGGTTCGCCTGAAAATAAATTTAAGTCGAATTTTTGATGTACTTAGATGTTTTAAATGTGTGATTTGACTATTTTTAATAAATATAATCTATACTAATGTTATAAAGAGGAAGCATTTTTAGTTTGTTTGCTTGTACCGAATAAGCTCCGAAACTACTGAACCGATATAGATGAAATTTGATGATGACGAGGAAGATAGTTTGAGACTCTGGGAAAGACATAGGTAGTAATATATATGTAACTAGCGACTCACCCTCGCTTCGCTCGGGTTCGTCCCTAGCTTGATTCCCCGTACAAACTTTCATCCCCATTTTCACTCTCTTAAGGGGTTATTTCCGGGACCAAAAATCAAATTCTTAGGTTTTACATATTAGTATACTCTTACATTGCATTTTTTGTATTTTTTCTCAGAAAGGAGACATTTTTCCGCGGTTTACCACTGAAACTGTACATTAAATAATTTTTTAGAAAATTTGATTGACATAGGCATTATTATCGATACAGAGGCTGAATCAACAGTTTTTAGTATTATTGTCTATCTGTCTGTCTGTGACCGCATCACGGAAAAACCACTGAAGGGATTTTGATGAAATTTGGTATGATGATAGCTGGTTATTCGGTCAATATATACGATACTTTTTACTGCGGGAAAATATCTTATCTTTGAAAAATCTATACTAAACGTTAAAACGTAAGTAGGAACGAACCCGGGTGGAGCGAGGGTGAGTCACTAGTTAGTAATATAATTGGCGAAAAAATGGCGTTGCATGTATATAATCATTTAATAACATAAAGTACGAGCCCGAGCAAAACGAAGGTATGTTACTTTTTTTAATAAAAATATAGTAAGAGGTTAAAATTTTGTTTCCTAAGGTGTAGTGGAAATGGTTAACCGAATGTGGCCGGACCGAAAACCACCGCCCACTCCCGAGCCGGAGCCTAGAGTTATATCAAAGAAAGGAGGAAAGAAAAAATAATACCGAAAAATAACATGAAATGTAAAATTTTTAAGTAATTTTGAAGACCTTTTTCATTACCTGGTTTGACAGAGCTGATAGTGTATAGCCTACAAGTCTGTTCGAGGTCAACTTTGTGTTTTAAAAGACCAGTGGTAAGACTTTTAGAAGGCATGTTTTTTGTTTATTTTTGTTTCTAATATCTTTTAAGTTGGTATTTATGTTAGTTATTTATTTTTAACGTCGTTCTTAGAACTAATAAGTGCTTTGTAATGTTAATAATTATGTTTTAATACAATAAATAATTTTAAAGGAACTTTGTTTTAATACTGCGTTATATAAGATATAATTATTATTTAAAAAAATCGTTTAAATTCATCCAAAGTCAAAATTATTTTAGCTCTGGGTTTTCACTATATTTCAAACGCAAACTTCACTATAGTATAAGAAATAGCACTCCATAGAATTTTAACGACCCTCCATAAAATACTGGCCTCAACTTCCCAGACTTAGTCGAAACACTCAAAGTAATTATACAGGAACGAGGCAAAAACTCGACATAATCCAAACCACCAGGCTCCTTCAATTAACAACTGGATGCCTTGACTTTATATACACAGGAAATTAAACTTCTTTTTCTTTACATAACTGTTTTTTAAGATCTATTTTTGCATCTCACACCTCTAGGTTTGGCGACTCACCTTAATTTTGGAGTGTAAAGGAAAATATGTTTTAGGTGTTTAAAATAAGGACTGTTTTCGCATAGCTGTACTTTTGTTCTGTATTCTTTCGTTGAAGTCTAGTGAATCGTCGTGAAGATACGGCCGGCAGTTGTACACTTAAACCACCTTTTACGTAGGGTTGCTCATTGCCCATTGTTATTTGATTGTTCGTCTATTTGCCTTTATTTCATTCTTTCGCCAAAATAGCGTTTAATTTTAAATAAATCGCCAAATTAAGCAATACCAAATCTTAATTTTTTTAATTATTTTAAGAATTGCAACTTGATGCACGATTTTGGCAAGCGCTATCGCTTTAGTGACTAACTTAAGTTAAATAAAATATCAGGCGATATGACGAGTATCACTAAAAATTTCAACATAATTTCGCAATTTAACTTGTTATAATATGTTTATGTGTATTTTTATAGTATTAACAAGGAAAAATTACATGAATCCCCAACCCTAGACGCCGTGTTAGTCCGTTGGGCAGATTCAGTCGTCTCGCATTTCACTCTGATGCACACAGCGGCCTGCAACAACGTTAAACTTTTTTACGTCTGCACATAAACACTTCTTTACAGCACAATACTACAAAGGATGCTTGAAAATGCTGAGAGCAACCTTTAGTGCCGCATTATCGTGGTCATCTTACCAAATCACTTGTAACTTTTGTAGAATACTCGCTACTTTTAGAATGTCAACAGCTTTATAAAGTTTTTTATTATAACCAATTTTAAAGTTACTTTTGTCATTATTATTTTTACTATCACTACATATTAGCTAGTGGTAACTCAGTGGTAATACACTCGCTTGGGAAACCTAGTGAAGCGGGTTCACATCTCGGGTCTCACACCTCTAATATTTTCATGTGCGAATCATTTCCAACATAATAACCACTTGCTTTACGGTGAAGGAAAACATTGTGAGGAAACTTGCATGTCTCAGTGAACCTAGCAGCAGCAGTTTTCTTAAAGACATGTGAAGTCCGCCAACCCGAACTTGGTCAGCGTGGTGAACTGTGACCTGATCCCCCACGTATCCAAGTGAGGTTCGTGCCCAGCAGTAAGACGTTAAAAAGGGCTGAATACTTACATACATACATATTATATAATTATTATGTTTTATTTCTTTTTTGTACCAGTACTGTCTGTACTGTATCTATACATACGAGTATAATAAAAGTGTAACTAAGCCGAATCTGTACATTAAATAATTTTATTTTTTTGGAAAATCTTATTGAAATAGACATTATTATCCGCTACAGAAGCCGAATTTATAGTTTCAACACAGCTCTAATAATTTGGATCAAATTTTGTATTTAGACTAGCGACTCACCCTCGCTTTTCTCGGGTTCGTCCCTAGGTACGTTTCAATTTTATTGAGCGAAACCCCAATTCTTTTTCTAAAATAAAAGTAGCCTACGTTACTCCCTATAACATCAGTTATCTTCCAGTGAAAGTCCCGTCAAAATCAGTCCTGCTGTTTCAGAGATTATTTGGAACAAACAGACAAAAATTAAAAAAAATGTGTTTTTCTTATAAGTACCGTATATAATTTCATATGCATTTAGTAAAACGCTGTTATTTTGTTATTATAAACAGACACTTCAATTTTATTTATCTGTATAGATAAGGTTTTGCTTTTTAAGTTTTCATATATGTAGGTTTCTTTTTTGAAAGAAAAAACATATTTTTTTATTCCTAAAAGCACCAAGTGAAGAAAAGCTCGATCAGCAGGTACTAAAACTAATAAAATAACCAGGACAAAAATATGCTAGAGTTTGGCCATAACTAAAATAAAAAGTAATTGAAACCAGCATATCACGAACACATTTTAGAATCATATTACCTACACTGAAACTGCAAAATTACAATGCGTTTTTCATTTTCACGCGTTAGAAACTAAAAATTCCGAAAGCAATTTTAAAGCCACCGGGAAACCAGACGACAGTTAGTGGTACATAAAGTTTGAGGACTCTATTCTCATAATTCGGGGGATCGAATTTAATGTGCGAGCGTGTATAGTATATGGGACACGATGTAAATTCCTCGGTGCGGATGGCTCGGCCATTGGAAGCACTCGTGCCAGTTGGGGCCGAAGGCTTATAGTGGATCTTGCTTCTAGTGTTACTAATTTTCCATACGTAATTACAATTTTGAATATTAATTGTAACTTAGAGTATGTGTATTAAGTACTAGTTTAAGCTTCCAGTTCCGCTTGCATAGTTTATTTATGTAGAGTGATGTTAGATAGCTTAAAGCTCCCTCAATGATTAGGCTATAAAATGTTTTTTTTAAACAGACTTATAGTTTTTCAGAGGTTGGTGTACAAATAATTAGGAAAAAATAAAACAATCATCAATCTTTTAAGTTTTATAATATAACTTAAATAAATGATACTTTTAGAATATGTGCAAACAAAATTTAAACCGTTTTACTTTTTAGTTTTTTAACCAAAAAGATAATTTTAAAGTTCTATGGTAAATATATTTTTGTGTAAATATAATAGTGGTCTATAGAAAATAAAAGCTATCGACATCAATACAATTTCTAGTCTCTTGCAGTTTCCTTCACCTGGGAGCTTAATCTTTAGGCATCATGTCTATCGGGAAATCATATTTGTAAGAAAAATATTCTTTTGCTGCCACATACATATTTATAAGTAAACTAACATCACAGGCTTAGGCAGTCGATCATTAGAGCCGCACTTTGGTAACCTGCGTCTGGGAGCTTTTGAAATATTCATAAAGCGATAAAAAGGATCAGGGTTAAGATTGGATGAATACACGTAATATTACTTTTGCGAGGTAATTTTCTCCGTTCGAGGGATTGTTGAGAGGTACGAAATTGCATACTTTGATTTTTTGCTTTTAGATTTTATATTATAATGGAGTTCGCGGTGGTCAGTTTGAACAGTCTCTACGTTTAGATACTTACTATATATCTAGTTTGATATTATAATAAAAATGTCTCCATACTTACTAATATTATAAATATGAAAGTGTGTTTCTTTGTTTATCCTTCTTTCACGTCAAAACAGAGTGCGGATTGGCGTGTTTTTTGTGTAGAGATAGTTGGAGAGTTAGAGAATGACATAGTATACTTTTTACCACGTTTGTATGATACCTACTTTTGTAGAGTTTTTTGTCGTCTTAGCGCGAGCGAAGCCGCGGGTTCTGCTAATATTTAATATTTATTACTGTAATATTTATCATTTAACCTGATTACATGAGTTTAGATAAAACACAGTATTGCCAATCCGCATAATACTCATCTATAGAGTCATTGAGTCGTAATCCGTTCCAGTCAGAATAAAAAATATATTATTTAAAATAAGAAACTGTTACAATAGTCTTATCCACTTTATAGTTTCTTCATATATGCCCATATTGAGAGCGCCTGGTCTCATCGTGCCCCCGGCGGCCACTGGCATTATTTATGCGCTGCCCTAACGCGACATATTTTAAAGGAACCGTTTTAATAAGTTGCCTTTAACCTGTTACTTTCGGAGATAGAATAAAACGAAAAGGCAAAGGTTTATAAATAAATCAACCAATATGACATTTAATTTGAAAGTAAAAGCATGGAAATAAGTACATAATCTTCTATATTTATATATATATATAAAACAAAGTCGGGTTTGTTTCAACACTTATAACTCGAGAACTGCTGGACCGATTTCCATGTTTTTTTATTTGTTGGATTAGTCTCCGCCCCGAATAGCAGAATAACTATTAAAACATCAGAAAAAATCCAAAAATAAATAAATTATGTGACTAACGCTGGCTAATAATTATTTTTATCTATTTAAAACGTACCTAGCTACGAACTCGAGCGAAGTGAGGTTGAGCCGCTAGTATAATGTATAAAGAATAGAAGCCGGTAATTCAAATATTTGGTAACTACTTACTGGTTCTCTATCCGCTTTTAGTTTGTTCAGATAACTACTATCGCAGTACCGATTTGAGATACGAGTATAATGTGATGTAATAAGTAAGTGCTTTTCATGTACATATAAACTATCTCTATATAAAAAACGGTGAATTCTGTTGTAAAACTTTGATGAAAGGGCTAACCAATAGACCAAAAAACGCCGTTTTTTATATTTATGGGTTTATTTTTTATGTTCTTTCACGCATCGTTGGGACAACTGATCGATGTAATTTTGTGTATAGAAAGAGCTAATCCGCGATAAGTTTTAGCTTTCCACAATATATATATATATATATATATATATATATACATACATATATATATACATGTGGTACGTATGTCTGAGCGTCAATAGTTGATGTAG